TGATGATTATAATGAAGAAGGTAAAGAATTGGGTAAGGAATGGGGAAGAAGAAGAGGAGAAAAATATTCCAGACTATGACTCAAAGAAGGATGAAAACCCAGCAGAGAGCAGGCAGCAGCGAAGCAGGATGGAGGTAGCCTCGAGCATGACCTGCACTGGAACAGCTCTTGCTTACCTACAGCCTTATGTGTTTGCATTTTCTTGGTAGACTCAGTAATTTTTTTTTAAAGGAAAGGAATTTATATTTTACAGAGCAGTTTGTCCTACCTTGTATTTTAAGTTTAGTTTTTCGGCCAGATATGTTGAATGCAGAAGTTTATTCATTGCTTCATAGCTTGGTTCTTCTAGATCAACGGTTCTCAACCTGTGGGTCACGACCCCTTTAGGGGTCGAACGACGCTTTCACAGGGGTTGCCTAAGACCATCAGAAAACAAAAAGATATTTACATTACAATTCATAACAGTAGCAAAATTACAGTTATAGAGTAGCAACGAAAATAATTTTATGGTTGGNGGGGGTCACCACAACATGAGGAACTGTATTAAGGGGTCATGGCATTAGGAAGGTTGAGAACCACTGTTCTAGAGTGTTTTTATCATGTAACTATTAGATTGCAGCTATGAAAATAAACAAAACTGTTCAATAAAACAGATTTTTTGTTTTTCTAATTTTTTTCCTGAAGAACCAAAGTGTTTTTTTCAGCTTGTAGGTAAATGGGTTTAAGATTGCTTGCACTATCTTTGCCTTTCATTACATTGTTTTAGAAATGCAGTGTTTATGCTGACACAATTCATCATTTAAAAAAAAAATAAAAAAACACTTGTCAAGACAAGTATATGATTAAAAATTTACATGGGCTGGCCGAGTGGCACGATGGTTAGGAGTTGGCTGGGATGCCAGCTCTGAGCAGCAGGGCCCCGGTTCGGATCCCACATGAGGGCCAGTGACGCTGTACCCTCTATAGCTAAGATGGTGAACAACAGCTCGACCTGGAACTGGGCTGCCGTGAGTCGCCGGCGACAGCATAGGCTGCAGTGGGGCTGGCCGGCAGCAGGCGTGAGCTTTTGTGAGCTGCCGTAGGCAGCTGTGAGTGGCCATCCAATGGCCAGCAAGCAACTGCCTCTACCAGGAAGAGCACAATGATAATACAAACATGGGCCAGTGAAGCGACGTCCTCCACAACTAGACTTAAGAACAAAAGGACAGCAACTTGTCTGTTCCCCTTCCACAATTCCCCAATGCTGTTCCCTTCCCCCAATTCTTCAATAAAATCTTTAAAAAAAAATAGAATTTACAGTAAGACAATACCTATTAACTTAGATTGTTGATGGATTTTTATATTTAGGCAACATAGTTAACTATAAAGAACCCTATCTCAATAGCATGGTTACTGGTTACCAAAGGGAGGTGAATAAAACCTGTATTTTCAGAAGTTAAGCTCATTATTTTAACTGTACATTGAAATTCAACCTCCATGAACTAAGCATCTTTTCTTTGTGGTAGGTATGCCTTCTGCTTCTCTGCCAAGGATGAATTTTCATCATTTGACAAGCGTATTTCAAGTTTTTTTGTTTCCTTATTTTTGTTTTTGCAGACTAAAATAAAAATGTCAATTATAATTTTAGCTCTCATAAGACAATGTCTTAACTTTGTACTAATTCAGATAGAAGCAGAGTCCTACCTTGAATTAAACATTGTACCTAGTTTACCATATTGAAGAAACGGGTGCCAACTTGGAAGAGGGGAACTACATCTCCTAATAAGAAAGTTAAAAAAAAAAAGAAAAAGACAAAATTTTAAGTGATGCAATGGTTTTTTTGTTTGTTTGTTTGTTTTTTAAGAAAGATTAAAAGTTAAGTTTCGTTTCCTTTGGTTAGAATGAGAGAGGGCCGTAAGCCTCTATGGTTAATTCCTAGTCTTATTGCTTAAAGCATAAAGTGTTTTATTTACCCGTGCTTCTTTACTATGTATTAAAATGGGTAGTACTGTTTACTTAATGACGTCATAAATGTGTTAGGTATATTAAATTAAATTTTATGAAATGTTTCTCAACCTTACTAAAAGCTTAACAGTTTGGACCTATTTGCACCACAAGTATGATATTCAGCATTTTATTCATAACAGGGTTTGGTAAATAAACTGGAAAACAAAAATTAAGTACTTTATTCTGGATTTGGTCAGGAAACACTCTTTGTGTGGCTCCTATTTTAATAGAAGTGGATGGATAACAATTTCAAAATGTCCAAGGATTGTTTTTAGGTATTTTAGTTATGACCATATTGTAGAGATTATATGGGACTAAAATAGAAATAAGACCATTTTTAGGGGGATAATGCCATTGTATTTGAGACTGTAGAGCCACATTTAAAATACCTCAAGCTAATTACTGTTAATTTTTTCTGGTGAACGTAAAAGCTTTGACAATGAGAGTGCACTAATTGGATTGTAATTAGAGGACAGCTTAGAGTTTCTGCTCTTAATAAAATTACATTAGGTTCATTTTTAGAGGTAACAGCTTTTATTTTGAAAATTTAGTATTAAGATCTCAGAATGCGAACACATCTTATTAGTTGTACTGCACTATTTATTCTGCTCCTCGGATTTTAATTAACTACTGGAAATCCTTAGCTAGTTGTGATAGTTTGTAGGAAAAAGAAGCCATGAAAGTGCCTTATGTTTTTCCTCTTCGTTTTCAAAATGATTTTGGTCACTTTGATTAGACATTCTGTGCTGATTTTTTTTTTTGTACCATAGCTCCTTTGAACACAGCTGAACTTAAAAAATTTTTTTAATCTAAAGATCCCGTTTTTAATGAACTTAAAGTAGCATAACCACTACTTATTTTTTTTCTTTCATTCCTTTAGGAAATAGCTATTGCCAAAATGAAGAAGTAGATGCTATTTTGTCTTATTATATAAGGTGATGTGGTTAACGAGGAATTGTTCTATTAATAAAGTTGGAGTTTCAAGGGATATCAGTGTTCATCTATGCTATCTTTCCAGTTCCAATATGTTTCTATTCCATTCTACAAATTTGAAATATGTAATTTGAAATCCTGAATAAAATTTGCATTTAATTAAAAAAAATAAAAGACCTTGATAAGGTTATTCCAAATTTTATATGGTTATGGAACGGGCCAAAAATAGCAAAGACCCACTTGCGGAATAACGATGATATGAAAGCACTTCTTTTACCAGAAATTGAGGCTTATTATAAAGCTACAGTAAGAAATTCTCATCCTGGCGCAGGAATAGACAGTAAACTAATGGAACAAAATGAAGCCTCATAGGTAATCCAAGCACATTTGGCCTCTTAATTAATAACAGCATGGTACTTCAGAGTAATGAAGGAAAGTCTTTGCAATAAGTGGGCTGTTCCAGTTAAGAATTATGTAAAGAGTAAAAGTGAAATTACCCCTAATGCACACCATACATGGAAATCAGTTTCAGTTAGATTATAGGATTATGAGATACAAAATACAAAATATTTTAATGACCTAGGGAAAAGGTAAGAGTTCTTAAATAAGACACAGGAGAAAGTACTTAACCATAAAGGAAAAAATGTTCTTTAAAATTAAATTTAATTTCATTAAAAGACACTATAAAAAGAGTGAAAAGGAAAACCAGAAAGAAAGGAAAAAATATTTTTGTAACACATCTAACCCATAACAAAAAAATGACTACAATAGATGAAGTAAAAATGCCTACAAGTCTATGAGAAAAATCAGACGACCCAGTTAAAAATAAATGGGCTAAAGACTCAGATATGTCCTTTATAAAAGAAAAATTACCAAGAAGTGGCAGAAAGAAACTGGCAGAAGGGAAGCAGAGCCATCTGGATAAATCAAATACGAGTATATCCAATAGAAAGGTTTTTCTGTATTTTTAAGGCCTCATTTACATAACTTTTACATTTCATGTAACTTACAAATATTTATTAAACCCAAGGCCCACTCAAACATTAATCACTGATCTCCATTTCTCACAAAACTCAAAATGAAGAGAAAAAATTATACCATGTAGATTTCCATTATGCTTCAATGGACTGAGTCCAGTCTCCATTTGAGGAACTGTCTCAAGGCTCGAGCAAAACCTACAGGGCCTGTGAAGGTGGCCAGGAAGAAGGGGTTGGAGGAGAGGGCAGGAGGATGGTTGTAACTAACACTTACAGAATATTTACTGTGTGCCAGGCACTGTGCTAAACACTTTAAGTGCATTACCGCATTTAACCCTCACAACATCTTCACAGATGAGGAAATTGTGAAGTTCAGTAAATAGCAGGAGTTCTGCTACCAGGCCTTGTGCTATTAACCTCTGAACTTCCTCTTTCATAACTGCCTCGCAAGAGGCTCTCTCTTAACTATCCTATTGGGGTAGGGGCGGGAGCTCATTATATTTTCCAGCTGCAAGGCTGAGTCCACGGTTACTGCAAGTTTTTTTGCCTTGTCTACTTCCTGACATACCTTAGGCTTTGGCCTTTTCTTGGCTTTGAGGTCCAGGAAGGTGCAAAGTATAGAATACAGAATGCTCCATGCACATTATGAAGATACAGTGTGATATCCTTTTGTCCTCACTTTTCATCATGTGTGGATGGCCATATAAGACTACATAACCTTGTAATAATCAGTTTATTTGCTATGGTGGGAGTGGGATAAATGGAGAACCTGTAATCTTGGCGCTGGTACACCTAACATTTAACTAATGCTGCTTAAATAGATACACAGGTATACTTAATGCACTTAGGTATATTTTAGCATTTAGCATTATATACAAATACTGAAAACAATAAGACTTCTATGTTTCTCATGTACGTTTTCAGTTTTGTCTCACTTTGCAAGGTAATATTTCTGTTCATTTGAATATGTCACAGACACAGATAATATGTGCTTTTCATAAATATTTTCATTCATTTTAACAAAATATAAAGTCAAGCTCTCGTTCTCAAGGAAACTAATCTCATACTGAATTAAGAAAAACTGTTTATGCTTATGTTTTGCAGACTTTGAATAATGAGATGAGTACAGATGATGACAATGAATATGCAGAAGAAAAGGAAAGCTACATCTGTGCAGTGTGTCTGGATGTTTATTTCAACCCATACATGTGTTACCCTTGCCACCACATATTCTGTGAGCCCTGCCTACGGACTCTTGCCAAAGACAATCCTGCAAGCACACCCTGCCCACTGTGTCGGACAGTTATTTCCAGAGTCTTCTTTCAGACAGGTAACTGTTCTCTTTCATTAACATGATTGCCTGATTATTTTGACTACCTCTTTGTTCCACGTCTAAAATTACTTTATAAATTATTGTGAGAAAGTATAGAATAGAGAATGCTCCATGCATTCTATGTTGGATGTGATCTTGATAAAGTACTTAACACTTAAAAGTTGAGAAATTGAAGTGGGAGAGGATATGTAGAAGAAAGGGGAGAGGCATTCATATCCACTTTTTAAGCGAGGTCAAGATACGCTGTTGAAAGTTGATAGAAAAAAAAAATGTAGACACTGTTGATTGCTAATTAGTATCCATTATTGAAAATCTTATACAACATAATTTGTCACTCTCCAGTGTGTAAATCAGTGCTTGCCCAACTCACAGAACTATTTTAAAATCCTGGAACCACAGAATCATAGATAAGAATAGGTTCTCATTTCTAGTCCCCTACTCTATGCTGAGATCTTTCCTTAAATACCCCCACTAGATGTTGTTCTGTCTTTACTTGGACTTCTATTACATTAAAATTTGAGGCAGCCTTGTTGATTGTTTATTCCTCATATATGCCTTCCATTATTACTCATTCTTTGTTCTTGTCATTTTCTCTGGAGTCTCAGAGAATAAGTCTCTGAGGACAACTATCATGCCTTTCCCCAAAACTCCAAATCTTCTCAACCTTCTTATTGTCGTTAAGGTCTTTCTTCTTGAATGAAAAGAGAGTAAAACTGGAGCAAGGATTTGTTTGTTTCATTATCATGTAAAGGTGGAATATAACACAGTATTTAAAACGCACTAATAGAAAGAGGAAAAAACTAATGAATGTGGAACATAGAGAACTGCTAAGAAAAAAGGGAAGAATGATAGCAGTAAGCAAAGCTATATTTATTGAGTGAACTACTTACTGTATGTTAACGGTTAAAGGAAAAAAATTTTCTACCTCCACATTCTCTCTTCAACCATAGAGGATTTAATGGGGATCAAAGTATGTACTTCATGAATAGTGAGAACACATGGCACATTTTCTTCCCTAAAAGAAAAGCCAAGGACCCACCTGCCAGGGAGAATAAGATTATGAAAATAAGCTTTGAGTACCCTAACCCAACACGCAGGCTGGCAAACCTAGTTTACAGGATCAGTAACCAAACAGTGAAGAGAAAGCAGAGCTGTGCCTCTCTGATCTGCCTAGTGCATGGAGACTGGAGCACAAAGTCACCGAACTGAGTTTAGACAGACCAGGAGTCTGAAGAACACGTCAAGCACAGTGACTCCACCGAGTAGGGAAATGTGGTCAGGGATTTCAAGCTGTCAGTCTCACCAGGCGGAGTGCTCTTCCTTTCATTGGGAAGAGAGTGTAAGGGACGAAGAGAGGAAAGGCAGCAGTTCCACGAGAGGGCAGATGCTTTTACTGGAAGTCCCTTTTTCTGGCTTATATTGAAGTGGGGAAAAGCGGTTCTTTTCTAATAACAGATTTCTTGCTGGAACTTCAGAGTGAACAAAAGTAGAGGCACCAGTGACTCCTCTTTCTCAATGTTATGCCTCACCACCTGTGCAAGAAAGCATTTACTGAAAGCCTGTTTTGATAGGAAACATCTAGATAATTTACACAGTGACTTAGACAGATGCTGTCCCTGCCTTCTATGATCTAATTTAACACTGATAGATATTTTTAAATGTCTTAAAATAATAATGACTCAAGTCTCTGTTGGTCCATTTATCAAAACAACAATGTCATATTTTTCTTTATTTTCAAATTTGGTTCTTCTAAAATAAATCATATTGGGAATACTTATTCCAGTGGAGATTATATTTGGTTGTGTACTGTCATTTAGAGGCTGGTAATAATGGGACTATCCTTCATAATGATTTATACCCTACCTCAAAAGGATTTGAGGTGTTTTAAAAGATATAGTCAATGAAATAGCAGGACAAAGGAATTGATGAATTGAAATGGACTACAGAGCCCAGGTGAGGGTGGATGGCTGATATGTAAGCCATATGGCCCTACATAGTAACTACAATTAGATGAAGCATTTAGTTTTTTTAAACATTCTGGCTGCCTAAGGAAAAATAAAAGTGCACAATTAAATGATCTCATGATCCATGAAAAGAAACATAGTAATTCCTAAGGGTATCAAAGGTTTTTCTGGCGCTTCAAAAGGTTTTTGTTGTTTTTTTAACGTGATTTCTCCTCTGGAGCATATTGAAAGATGGATTAGACAATGTCCTCAAAAATATCCTCATAGCAAATGCAGTATCAGATTTTCTAACATTGTGTTTCATGGTATTCTTTTATAAAACCTGAGGAAATATCAGCGTATAAATTAGGGAAAGCAACATTGCTAGGACAGCCAAAAATATGGTCTTGTTTTCTTATAAAAATAACTTTTAAAATTATATAAGCAATATAATTCATTATAGCAAAATCAGAACATACAAATAAAATTATAAGCTCAAAATCCTCCATAGTTCTACCATTTAAAGATCACATTTAGTATTTTTTCAGAAGGATACTACATACAGAGAATTATATATACATAATCATCTATTTTACAAAAAAATTGAGATCATATTGTACATAATAAGGCTTTAAACCTTCTTTGTTTTACTTAAAATTCTATCATGGGACATTTAGTTTAGTTATTTATCATTCATTCATTTGCTGATATATGTGGATAAATATTTGCACAAATCTCTGGGAATTTACTTGAAATGTATTTCCAGAAGTAAAGTCCATGTGTGTTTTAAGACTGTGTATATGTTGCAAAATTATGCTTCAAAATTATTGCAAGTGGCAGTATACAAGTTCTTATTTTCTTTGTACTCTGAGCTATCCTTTTTATTCTGTTTTAAATCCCTTATCATGCCCTTTGTTGATTTTTATTTTGGTCTGTTCACCTTTTTCTTGTTTATTAGAAATGTAGTGTTGAATATTTTATTTGTTGCCAAATCCTGCGTTTCCAAGTTCAAATGCCACTAGAATGGGGCAACACAGTTCTACAGAAAGAATAACATCCTTGGGGTTTGTACAGTTTATAGCAAAGTGAGATAAGGTTTAACATATTTAAGTAAATAGAAATTATTTTAGAACAGAAAAGGATTTGACATGATGTCATCCAGTGATTATCAAACCTGACACTGCATCAGAATAACACAAGGAGCTTGTAGAAAGCAGGGCCTCTTTGGTCACATCCACAGCAGTTCTGCTCCAGTATATCTGGGCAAGGTCCTAGAATTTGTGTTTTTGTGTTTTTGATGCAGAGTCAGGCTGCAGGCATACATTTTGGAATCAGTGATCTAGTAGAGTGCTCTGCAGACAGGAATTACATTTAATTAATTTCTGTGTTTCTAGATGGACCAGCAAAGTCAGGCACATAGCAGGTGCAAAATAAATGTTTGCAGGAGATAGAGCAGAAAGCAAGTACAAAGAGAAGTTCAACAACTGGTAGAAGATCTCACAGTTAAGAGGCATTAGAACCCAGTTTTTACTTGGCCCAGCAATGGTGGGACCAGGGCTTCTGTATCCTCTTTTCTCCAAAGGCCCTTTGGATCAAGTATAGTTAAATTGCTGGTATCATAAGGTTATGTTACGGACACAGGTGTATATGTTCAACAAAATGTTGTAGGTACAACTGTCATCTCTTGCAGATTTTAATAAAGTAATGTATCTGATCATAATTTTCTTAGATACTATAAATCTACTTACGAACCCTTTCCTGCTTTGATATATTAACCACATGGGTTTGTTAAATATAGCTTAAAACTGCACTAAGTTCCTTGAAGCTAGGAATTAGAAGTATCACAGTCATAATTATTAATTTACTTCTCTCATCTATCCTCTAGGAAAAGCAGGTTGTGGCTCATTATCAAAACTGAAATTATTGGATGACTCTTACAAGAATGCCCTTTTGATCTGGTGTACTAGAATTCAGTCACTTCCAAATAAGTTTCCTGTTTAACAGAGGGACTGCAATGGCATCCTTTGGTTATTGCATCAACATATTAGGACATGGCTACAGCTCTAAAGAAGGGGTGTGGGAGAGGAGAAAGAGAATGGGGAGGAATAAAACTTCTTGAAATGCAAACTCTTCTTTTTGGTTTATATTATCTCTCACATGAAATCTTCACTTACCATCCACACTGGTCTCATTTTTAAGGGCATTTAGTAAGTTGTAAGTCACTTTGCCCAAGAGTTAATTGTTAATACAATACCACTTATGGAATTTTTAAAATTAAATTTTTTGGGGTGACATTTGTTAATAAAATTATATAGGTTTCAAGTGTACATTTCTATAATATATCATCTATATATTGCATTGTGTGTTCACCACCCAAAGTCACACTTTTTATCACATATACAGAGGGTGCCAAAAAAATGTATGCACATTTTAAGAAAGTAAAAAACATTAAAATTTGTAATACTCAAGATGCACTGATAACAAAAGATGAATACAGCCACGTTTGACTTCTGATTACGGCGTATTACTGCTTGAGCAACATTGACCAAAGTGGCCACTTGTATACATTTTTTTGGCACCCTCCGTATTTGACTCCTTTTAGCCTCTTCTACCACCCACCTCCCTACTTACCCTCTGGTAACCACAAAACTGTTGTCTGTGTCTTTGAGTTTTTGCTTGTTTGTCTTATTTATTTGTTGCTTTCAGTTTTCTATCCCACATACGAAGGAAATCATATGGTTCTCAACTTTTTCTGTCTGACTTATTTTGCTTAGCATGATAATCTCAAGATCCATCCATGTTTTCGCAAATAGCAGTATTTCATCTTTTCTTGTGACTGAGTAATATTTCATTCTACAGAGTGCCAAAAAAATGTATACATATTTTAAGAAAGGAAAACTGTATTAAAATTATAATACTCATACATACCGACAACAAAAGATGAATACAAGTCACGTTTGACTTCTGCAATTACAAGAGGTGCTCAGAGTGGTTACTATCAGCATCCAGGCACTTCTGATTACGGCAAACTACTACTTGAGCGACGACGACCAAAGTGTCCACTTGTATGCATTCTTTTGGCATCCTGGTATATGTGTACCACATCTTCTTTAACCAATCATCTATCAAAGGACACTTCAGTTGTTTCCATGTCTTGGCCATCATGGATAATGCTGCAGTAAACATAGGGGTACATATATCTTTACAGATAAATGTTTTCAGATTTTTTGGGTGGATACCCAGAAGAGGGATCACTGGGTCATATGGTAATTATATTCTTAATTTTTGAGGAACCTCCATACTCTTTTCCATAGTGATTGTACCAATTTACATTCCCACCAGCAGTGTAAGAGGGTTCCTTTTTCCCCACAACCTCTTTAACACTTGTTATTACCTGTCTTGTTAATGATAGCTGTTCTTACAGTGTGAGGTGGTATCTCATTGTGGTTTTGATATGCATTTTCCTTATAGCTAGAGGTTGAGCATCTTTTCATATTCTGTTGGCCATTTTTATGTCTTCTTATGAAAAATATCTGTTCAGTTCCTCTGCCCATTTTTTAATTGGATTGTTTTTTGATGTTATTTTAATTATATTTATTGGGTTGACATTGGTTAGTAAAATTATATAGGTTTCAAGTGTACAATTCTATAATACATCACCTATGTATTGCATTGTATGATCTCCACCCAAAGTCAATTCTCCTTCCATCACCATATGTTTGACCCCCTTTACCCTCTTCTACCACTACCCCCTTTCTCTTCCCCTCTGGTAACCCAAACTGTTGTCTGTGTCTATGAGTTTTTGTTTGTTTGTCTTGTTCAAATACTGTCTGCCAATAGTGACAACATGGATGGACCTTGTCATGCTAAACTAAGTAAGTCAGACAGAAGAAGTTGAGAACCATATGATTTCACTGGGATTGAAAACTGAAAACTGAAAGCCTCTTTGTTTTGTTGATGGTTTCTTTTGCTGTACAGAAGCATTTTAGTTTGATATAGTCCCATTCATTTATTTTTGCTTTACTTCCCTTGCCTATGAGATCAAATTCATAAAATCCTCTCCAAGACCAAGGCCCATAAGTTTAGTACCTATGTTTTCTTTTGTGCAATTTATTGTTCCAGGTCTTATATTTAGGTTTTTGATCCACTTTAAGTTAATTTTAGTGTTTGGTGACAGATAGCAGTCTAGTTTCATTCTTTTGCACGTGGCTTTCCAATTTTCCCAGCACCATTTATTGAAGAGGCTTTGCTTTCTCCATTGTATGCTTTTGGCTTCTTTGTCAAAAGTATTTGCCCATGTATATGTGGGTTTATTTTGGGGTTCCCAGTTCTGTTCCATTGATCTGGGTGTCTGTTTTTCTGACAATTATTGTCACTTTATAGATAATTTGAAGTCAGGTAGTGTTATACCTCCACCCTTGTACAAGACATTATCAAAAGAAATTGAATAAGACACAGAAATATAAAGATAGTCCATGTTCATGGATTGGAAGAATCAATACAGTTAAAATGGTCATATTCCCCAAAGCAATATACAGATATAATGCAACCCCCATCAAAATCCCAATGGCATTTTTTAAAGAAATGGAACAAAAAAATCATCAGATTTGTATAAAATCACAAAAGACCCTGAATAGCCAAAGCAATCATGGGATTTTTAATTTCTCAGAAAATACCATGAATTATAGTCATCACTGCTTAACACTAAGTCCAGCAAGAACACATTTGTTACTGTCAGTGAATGTGTTATAAGCCATTTGCTAACTTCTTCCATTCTCTGCGTCAGTATGAATGACACTGATGAGTCCCTTGAAGCAGGTAATGGTACCATGCCCATCTTGTACGAAGAGGCTGTTCATAGGTAGTGGGCACAGTACACTTCAATAAAACAGCAGTGCATTGCTCAGAAAACACTGTGAGCATATCCAACCTGAAATGATTTAACTGTTAAACACATAAAGGGTAAAAATTCACTAGCCATAACAACTCTGTGCATACATAATGCATCTACAAACTATGAAAATACTTTTTCTCTAACTTGTGTGCTTGAGCAGTAGCTCTTGGGTATGGAATGGGGAAGGGAAGTTAGAGTTGTAGGTTTAATACATAACTCTCTTGTCTACAGTAGTCTATTTTTTACATTGTTTCTTTTGTTGTTAAATACAAACTTAATGAATCTATTTTCCCCGTGAATTAGGTAAGAATCAATCCAAGGGAATAATTAGGAAAAATAGAGACAATTTAATGTAACTGGTTGAACAGAAGCTCAAAGCCTGAAATAGGATAGGAACTGAAGAAATGTTATAGGTAATAGTTGTAGGATGAAAGTAACAGAGGAGCACTGATGGAAAGACTATAGTTTACTTCTCAAGTTAATAGCTAACTCTTCACTAGCCCCTCCGAGAACGTTGCCATTAAACAGCCTGACTCACATCGTGCCTTGCTTTCCATGGCTCATGTACAGAGACTTTCTACTAGTTAAAATGCATAGCATCATGTGTGTTCTCTGGTTCGTGCTTACTTCACATGAAGTTTTTCTTTTTCTAACTCACTAGCAAGCTTCTTAAAGGTTGAGAATTTATTTCTACGTTTTTAAACTTCCTCAAATCAGCAGCATTAGACTCACTAAATGCTCTCAACCCATCACATATAGAATGAAATAAAGAGATTATGAAGTAAAAAGTTCTAAAGGCATTTTTCATTTATCACTCCTGAGCCTCACGTGATTGTACTCTAGCTAAACTATTGCTACGCCCCTAACAAACTGTTCCCCTTTTTTTGTCTACTTGTTTATTTCCATCATTTAGTCCACAGTCTTCTTGAGGGCAGGAACTGTGTCTTGTTCATCACTCTGTCCTCCAAAACTGGCATAGGCTCTGACATAGGAGCCACTCAGCAGGTGTATGTTCTATATGTAGGCATAGCAAAATTGCCTCAAATGTGAGTTTGGGAGAATTATGTTGACTTGAGTTAAAAAGAAAGTTGGCTGTACTTTTGTTTCCACTGTCTTAAAGAGATCTGAATTTATTATCAAAATGCTACACCAGTTATTTTTCATGTTCTTGCCATTTTACTCAGATAAATGTTTTAAAATACTATTTTCTTCTATTTTATTCTAGAACTGAACAATGCCACAAAAACATTCTTCACTAAAGAATATTTGAAAATAAAACAAAGCTTTCAGAAATCCAGCTCGGCAAAATGGCCCCTACCGAGCTGCAGAAAAGCATTCCATCTTTTTGGAGGTAAGGAAACTAATCCCTCGCCCCCTGAAAAAAAAAAAAAAGTCTGGTAACTGTATTCCGGTTCTCTTTTTAAAGCTATTTTCTTCTTTAGAAATGTTAGTGGAAACATTTCTGCATTGTTCAATTTTAAGTAAGGATTTTGCTGAAAGCTACAGGTATACATATAAAGCAAATGGAGATTATGCAATAATTTGAGAGCAGAATTTGAGAGAAACTCATAATTACATTTACTTTGCTTTGCTGTCAATAATGTGTAGATAATGAAATCTATCTCAAAAATAGCAGATTTGTCAAAAGCTACATTTGACAAAGCACTGACATTCTTTATGAGACCTGAATAATTTATTATCATAAGCTAAGTTTACTTAGTGTTAATATTTTACAGTTGTCCCACAAGATTAGGACAAGGAGAAAGTGGCAGAGCTTTTGTGTAGAGAGTGTCTCAGAGGTGTACAGTGGACTAGGAATGCCAATTTCTGTGTTCAGGCCTAACTAGCTGTTTGACCTCAAGGATGTCATAGATCCCTATTCTTTTGCTTCTGTTTTCTGATCTTTAAAATGGGAATAATTGTGATTAATAGAGTGGCTGTAAGGATCAAATGAGCTAATGTGAAGGCACATTCTAAATTATTACTATTCACACTGTATAGACATAAGGAATTATCAAAATAAGGGTAAGATATTATGTCTTTAACCTTTGAAAATTTGTTACTATATAATGATGATCATACAATATGGACAAAATATAATTTCATCTTTTATAAAACCAGGTCTGTCAGAGCATGAACTACTGTGCCATTTTAGATTTGCCCTTTATGATAGTACAGGGTCTGGTTGGAAAGGTTCAGGTCTGGAGAGCTATGATCTTCAGGGAACAGGAAGGACTTCTGTGTATGAAAACCAGTAAGATCAGTACAGCCGTGACACAGACCAAAGGAGAAAAAAACAGAGCCCACATAGGTGAGGCAAAAAATAAATGAATTTACTGAGGTTTGAAGAAAGTAGTGTAAGGTCAAGTATAACTTTATATGGCGGTTTGAATGAAGAAAGTAGTTTAAGAACATTATATAAGCACATACTATTTTACAAAGTGGTTAGCAACTGTTGAAACTCATTATCCACAGAGCTGGTATAAAAACATTTAAAATGTATCACATTTAACCCAAAATAATATGAAATATAAGAAAAATCAGTCTTAAAGGATTTCATACCTTAGAAGAGAAAATTTATAATATGAATTTTGTGCTTTATAAGAGTCGTTTGTATCCTACCTTCTACCATACATTCAAATTTTAAAAAGAATTAAGCACCTTTCTGATAACCCCATAATTTCCTTCATCTTTTTGTATTCTGGGGTACTGAAGCTATAATTTAAACAGTTGCTTCTGTATGATTTCATCTTATTTGTCCATTGGAGTTCCACAGAGCTTAACTTTTTATAAGTTTTTATGGAGGATGTTCAAAATAGCTTTATTTTACAACCTAACTTAAGAAATGTATTACTGTCAGGAGCTCAGCTGAGCAACAGCTGAGCTTCAGGCTCAGCCAAAACTGAAAGAGTTAAGCCTGTAATCACTTAGTGCAGCGGTATAAATAAGAGTCCCGAGGAGGTGCCCACTCCCCCCACCCCCACCACGCCTGTTCCATCTTCCCCCGTGGAACGGCACACTGGTCCAGGGTCAGGGGATCTGCACAGAGAGGGTTATCTCACTGCTGAGGTTGTTCTGAATGAAGGGAGCCAGCAGTGTCATGGGTCTTGAGGTGACCTTGACTGCAACTGCTTCACCAGGTTTGGTGTGGGGAGGGCACCTTTCTCCTGTGGGGCCTGCCAGGTAAAGCCTCTCTAACTGCCTGTGGTCAGGCCTGAAAAAACACACATAAGATCTTAATCACAAACCGGACTCCTCAATCACCAGTACTACTAAAGCACCTTCTATATTTCTGTTTGCATTCTGCTTCCCTGAATTCTGTATTTATCATTTCTTATACAAGTATACATCTGTATACTGAATCAACATTATTTAATTTTGGTTGTTTCTGAACATTTGCTAAGATGACAATGTATATATTCTTACATATTTGCTTTGTCATTCAACATTGTTTCTTGGATTCATCCATATCAGTAAGCGTAGCCACATTCATTTATGTTTGCTGCTCTGCTGTAGTCCGTTATGTGATATGGAACAATTTATCCATTCTCCTGTTGAACAGTTGAGTTGTCTAGCTTTTTGTAATTATGTACAATGCTGCTACTAACATTATTTTCATGTCTCCTGGGGCAGAACAGTTCCTATAGAATAAATTCCAGGAGAAAACTGCTGGATCATAAGAAAAGTACATCTTTAGCTTATTATGTAAACCAAACCATTTTCTTAAATGACTGTACTGATTTATCACCAGCTTTGTCTACCACATTTGGTATTTTCAGCCTTTTAGATTTTGCCAGTCTCATGGGTATAAAATGATATCTCATTGGGGTTTTAATTTCAATTTCTCTGATTACTAATGGGGATTGACCATAGCTTTTTATATGTGGAGTTGCCATTGAGTTCCTTCAACGGTGGTATTCCTTTATGAATTTTGTCCATTTTCTATTGATTATATTATTCTTGCTGATTTTTGAGAGTTTTAAAATACTTTTTGGGTAACTCTTTCTGTTAATTTTATGAATGGCATCTGTCTTCTTCTAATTGTGGTCTTTGCACTTTATGATATCTTTTAATGAATTACAGTTCTTCACCATCTTTCTGGTGTGTATTATTTGACTTTAAGAAATATTTCTTTACCCCAACCTCCCTTCCTCCTCCCCACCCCCCGGATCATAGGAATATTTCCCTGTGTATTTTTCAAATAGATTTAAAGGTCTTCGGAATTGATTGGTGGTGGTGGCATTTTCTGGGTTTGGAGGAAGGGAGGTTGTGTTATAAGTAGAGATCCAACTGCTTTGGGGTGGTTTTTTTTTCCTGTTAAATTTTTTCTAACCATCATTTATTGAAAATCATCATTTCCCCACTGATCCACAGTGCTAACATGTCACATTTTAAATTGTGTGTGGGTCTGTTTCTGAGATCTTTGTACATTTTGTCTTAATTACTAAAGCTTTATAATAAGCCTTGACATTACCCTTAAAACTTACTTTGCTGTAAGAGAGCCTTAGCTTTTTTTCTTCTTGAATTTTAGAATCATCTTGTCAAGTTCTATGAAAAAACTACATTGAATTGATGGAGTGAGGTTCTAATCTATGAGTCAATTTGGGGAGAATTGATACCTTACAGTAATAGCTTTCCCTAACCACTAACTGGTTTTCTCTTCTTTTATTTAGATCTTCTAAAACTTTGTCTTATGATAAAATTTTATAATTTTCTTTACAAATGTGTTATACATCTTTTGGTTAGATTTATTCCTATGCATTTGCTATATTGTTTTCCTCTTTTTTTTCATTTTCTGAACCTTGAATGCAAAGAGTTGTGGAGTTGTACTTTTTTTTTAATTAAAGTTTATTGGGATGAAAATTGTTAGTAAAGTTACAGAGGTTTCAGGTATACAATTCTGCAATACATCATCTATGTATCACATTGTGTATGTTTCTTTCAATCTGAAGTGATTCTCTTACAGGCAGCATATGTAAGGGTTTTGTTTTCTTATCAATTCAGCCCTCCTGTGTCTTTTGATAGGAGCATTTATTCCATTTACATTGATTGTAATTGTTGATAGATATGTTGCCATTTTATTATTCATAATTTTGATTTTTTTCCCCCCACATCTTAAAGAAGTCCCTCTAACATTCCTTGTAGTACTGGTTTGGCAGTGACACACTCCTTTAGCTTTTTCTTGTCTGGGAAGCTTTTTATCTAAATGATAGCCTTGCTGAGTAATCTTGGTTGTAGATCCTTGCTTTTCATCACTTTGAATATTTCCTGCCAATCCCTTCTGACCCGCAAAGCTTCTGTTGAGAAATTAGCTGACAATTTTATGGGAGCTCCCTTATAAGTTAATAGTTGCCTTTCTCTTGAGGCTTTTAAGATTCTCTCTTTGTCTTTAACCTTTGCTATTTTAATTATAATCTGTCTTGGTATGGGCCTGTTTGGGTTCATCTTGTTTGGGACTCTCTGCGTTTCCTTGGCTTGTTTGTCTATTTCCTTCACCAGGTTAGGACAGTTTTCAGTCATTATTTCTTCAAATAGGTTCTCAATCCCTTGCTTTTACTCTTCTCCTTTTGGTACCCCTATGATGCAAATGTTGTTACACTTGATGTTGTCCCAGAGGTGTCTTATACTATCCTCTTTTTTTTGTATTCTTTTTTCTTTTTTGTTGTTCTGATTGGTGTTTTCTGCTACCTTGTCTTCCAAATCACTGATTCAATCCTCTGTGTCATCTAGTCTGCTGGTGATTCCTTCTACTACATTCTTCGTTTCAGTTATTATACTCTTCACTTCTGACTGGTTCTTTATGGTTTCTATGTCCTTTTTCACACTTTCTTTCTCTTTGTTGAAGTCTTACTAAGTTACTTGAGCATCCTTATAACCATTGTTTTGAACTCTGTCTCTGGTAGGTTGCTTGCCTCCATTTCATTTAGTTGATATTCTGGAATTTTCTCTTGTCCTTTCATTTGGGAAGTATTTCTTTGTTTCCTCATTTTGGCTGCCTCTCTGTGTTTGTTTCTATGTATGAGGTGTATGAGGTAAGATCTATGTCTCCCAGTCTTGGCCAGGTGGCCTTATGTAGTAGGTGCGCTGTGAGGCCCTGGCACAGTCCCCATGGTCACGTGCTCTGGGTACTCCAGGAGTGTCCCTGGTATGGGTTGTGTGTGCTTTCCTGTTATAGTTGAGCTTTGATTGGTATTGGCACATTGGTGGGATTGACGCCATTGGCTGTGGGTTTTGGCCATGTCTGCAGCTTATAGGTTGCCGTGCAGGAGGTTACTCCACTGAGTGGGATTCTCCCCAGTGGTCTCTGGTGCCTATTAAGACCACCCTTTGTGTATGCCATCTGTGGGACTA